AATATTGTTACTGGTGAGGAGAAATATTTATATCAAGCTACTATATAAACAGAACAACAAAGAAGAATAGATGGCACTACAGATCCTATCTGCGTTGTGGACAAGCCAACATTACTGTAGGAACTTTTAGCTTTTTCATTTCCTGATTTATTTTCTTTTCAGCTGGTGACCCCGTAACATTAAATTAACACTGAGAACTTCATGTACTATATTGCCTGGGTTTTTGAAGCACAGGACTATTTCTTCTAGCATGACACTTGCACCTGTATGGAAAGCACACTCCTTCAGCTTTATGCTCACTTCAAGGAATGCACATTCAGCTGAAGCACTGGTGTGCATTCTTTGCAAGAGCTACACCAGTGGCTCCATTAAAGTCAGCAGAGTGCACTGGGCATCCCAAGACTGGGCACTTGCTTCCCAGCAGCAATCCCAGAGAAGCCAGGAAGGACACTGTTTAACATAAAGAAAAACGGTGCTGGCTTCAAGTTTTATATCCCAACTAGGGAGAAGAGCACCAAAATGTTGCCAGGCCAAAAGAAGTCCCAAGTAGTGTGGGGATCCACTTCTCAGCCGTCTATTTAAAATTTCCTAGGTTGTGGAGTATATTTTGCATCTCAGGACAAGAGTGTTTGGGATTATAAAACATTCAAACAAACATTATTTGGGGTAGAATAAAGGAGTCAAAAGGGGCCCATGTGAAGAAGTAACAATCAAAGTCTTACAGTTTTCTCTAAATCTCTCTATAAGAAATGAACACCTCCATACCAATCCTGGCATGTGCAATGCATGTATCTTTCTGAAATCACTTGCTTCGTCGACTCAAATGTGCCTGTTTCAAATCGTCAGAAAATCAAAATCAATACTATTTTCAAATGTAGCAAATAAGTAAGTGAATAAATTTCAATAGGATTTGGGTTCTCACTTCCTTAATTGCCTTTGAAAAGCCCAACCAAAATTTTTGGAAATGGGAAAAGTATATATTTTTTTCCATTGCCATCTTATTAACCTATGCATGAAGGAATTTTGCTCAAACACAAAATACATTCTTTTTGGACAGTGACTAAGCATGGAAAATTTCCTCTGATAAGGAATTTGTTAAAAACTATTATAAAAACTTGTTTGCACAATATTCTCCTTTATAATCTTAGCCATAGTATGAATCCACAATCAGAAGAAATAATTCTGAGTATCTCCTGAAAAATCCACCTGTCCCTGTTTCTATATTAGTGTCATCAAGGATTCATAGATTGCAAAAGTTTAGGAGGCCCTGATACAGTGGGCCTGGCAACTTATGTAGTACCTTATTCAAAGTTCATTGGAATTCAGTAGAAAGACTCAAAGGACTTCCGATCAAGTCCTTATGCCCTTTTTACACCAGTATAACTCAATTCACTTTGGTGAGCCTGCTTCCTATTTACACTGTTTTAAGTGATCCTAGAATCAGGTCCAGTGATTTCTAAACTATTGGTTTTACATCTACTGGTTAGTTATAGATGATCATCTAGTAAGACATTGTCCCCACAAAACTCATGTATCATATTGCACATAATCAGTGGGATTTTCAAAAGCCTTTAGGAATGGCCTATCTGTGCTCTCATTGAAGTCATTTAATAAAACTCACTTTAAACTCAGTGGGAGCAGAGTTAAGCCTATGCTTTATAAAATGCTACCTAAAGTATAATATAATTGACTACTTACAAAATCCCCACTATTGTGTCCATGTCCTCTGGCTATGTGGACAGCTGATAGCAATACTCATTAATCAGGAATAAGTTACAAAAGAAACCTTCATAACTATCCCCCTTTATTCCAGCCAGGACTTCAACTGTTGTCCCTAAGAATTCCTGAGTCCTGCTAGCTACAGGGAGGAAGGAAGAGGAAAGGGAAATGACCCTACACCATCCACCTAGTAGATAAAAGAACTGATGGGAAAGTCCAGTATGTTTGTACTCAGCATTTTCTGCAGCAGATCTGCTGACTCCCGTGCTTGGGAAATTCCCTGGTGCCTTGGTACCTGATAGGCTCATAACTTATCTCTGTTTTTATTGTGAACTTAGATGACAAACTGCACTGTGTTTACAATCATCTGAAGCTTGTGGGCTTGGAGGTGCTAGTTTAGCAGAAATCAGAGGGCTGGTAAAAATCTTGGTGTAGCTCCAGGGAAAAGCAAATACCTGTTTGACAATACAATAATACCAACTAAACCATGAAAACCCAGGATAATGAATGATGACGGTGGTGAAGCTTTAGCCGGAAGTTCAAGATTCTGTTGTGAAGTATACAATTTGTCCTCATAACTTGTTTATATCACCTGAAGTGCTGTCTGGTAAAACAGAATATAATAGTCTTGTACACTCATTGTATTGATCTATAGCCCCTGACTTTAAGTTACTACAGCTCCCTCTCAGTCAACAAAGAGTTCAGTAACAATGGCTGTCTAAGTTCCTTATTGTAAAGAAATCAAACAAAGTTATTTATTTAAAACAACAACAAATTCTGGTAGGAATTGCTTGTGTTATATTATCATATTCTCTAGCACCTGGGGTGAGCATTCTTATTCTAAATATTTATTCACTGGTCTATTTTAAAAAAATGTTTCTTATTTATATTGTTTTTTACCAAACATAGAAGCTCTCAGAGATTTTTTTCACTCTATTCCTCAAGGTGTCTTCTGTAAGAGAAAGTATTGATTCCAACTGTTTGTAACATTTGATTAACTTAACTTTCAGAAAGAGCTTTCTAATTTCTGCAAAGAACCTATGGGGACAAATTGTAAAACCTGTGTTAGATGGGGAAAAAAAACCCTAAATTAGTAAGTAGAGAAGATTGTAATATTTCAGGCTCATGGTCACATAATTACACAGACCGCCATAATACTTTTCAACAGACAAAAATCTTTAGCAATGACCTTTATTTCTTTCTCACCTTTGTTACAAAGAGATTTTGACAGGTTGCAAGTAATAGTTTGACTACAATTTCAAGCCCAGATTCTACAAACACCTGAATACATTTTCACATTTAAACTCATTGGTTGAAATCCTAGCCCCACAGAAGTCATTGGGAGTTTTGCCTTTGATTTCAATAGCACTACAAGTGTGAATATGTGTAAAGCTAAGCAAGTACATAAGTGTTTGCAGGGTGGAAGCTATGGTTTGGTCTGAGTTTGAACCAGGTCTTGTTATGCAGATGGGCCCTTACACCTGTACTGAGTCCAAATGAAGCTAGATGGATTCTATTCAGGCATAACAGGATCACTTTTCAGGTCTGGGGGACTATTAGTATAAGCATTGTTGACAAAGTCATACAATATTAATAGTAAATTACAAGTCAGCAAACGGTGAAAAAGAAATGGCCTATGCGGTTGAAAAATCTTGTGGTTTCCACGTCATTTCTGCCTTCAGCTCTCACCTCTGCTTTGGTGACAAATGTTTACCTTTTGCTTGCTTGGAAACCAAAAAAGAAAAAGGGACATACTGAATAAACAAAACTGATAACATTTAAAATAAAAAGTTTAAAACAATCTCCAGTCAGGAAGAGTGAGGGAGGGCAGCATGATGACTCATCTGATTAGAGTCAATGTTAAGCTTTTGTTTGACCTTCCTCAGCAGGTTCACTTCTCAGAATTGATCATGAAGTTTGGAAGGAATAAAATGATCAGATGTGACTTTATGATGTCAGGAAGGGGAGGTGGTTTTCCTTGGTAATCAGGAACAAGGACACTAGTCAGCCCCAAGGGGATGCAAAAAACAGATCACCTGCCTGGAGTTCATACCAGGAACCTTGCAATGTCAGGCTTCTGACTCAGAGATGACAGCACTTGGTATTGCTTAGCTCTCACAGGAGATTTAATTGCATGCAAGGTTAGAGGCAAAAGAGATATTGAGAGAGACATATACCCAAATATTTGTTTAAAATATAAACAACAGTGACACTGTTCACAAGAAAATTACTTATTTTTCTAGACACGGGGTGGGTGAGATAATATCTTATTGGGCCAACTTCTGTTGGTGACAGAGGCAAACTTTTGAGCTCTACAAACCTGAAGGGAGGCTCTGTGTAGCTTGAAGGCTTGTCTCTTTCACCAATTAAAGTTATTTCAGTAAAAGATATCACTTCACCCACCCTGCCCCCTAATATCCGGGAACCAACATGGCTACAACAATGCTGCAAACAACTTATTTTCTGACAAATTTCTACAGTGGAATTAATCAAGATAGCTTCCTTGTATGCTAAAGTTTCAAGGCAAGTGTAGTCTGAACTAAAAAGACTCAAAATGAATCATCCACACTGACACTTTTTTTTTAAATATATTGTTTAATTCTGTTCCCCTCAATGTAAGGTGGAGTGAATTTTAGTGTCCATGAAAGTGAATAGCTGATAGCACTGGGTACAGCTGAATGCAGTTCAGGCAAATGAGATGCGTGATAAATGATGTGTACATTTATGCCAATGAGAGTGAAACTCAGGTGTGAAAACATGCAATGCCCCATCTGTTCCAGTCTGAATCCTTTCCTGAGAAGAAATTACCAGTCCAGCTGTATTGTGCCATATTGTGTTGCAGTTTTATGAGGAGTGTGGTAGACAGGTATTTTATTTAGAAACATTTGAAATTACATATGATAAGCCTGCACTTCAAAATTCTGATTGGGATTCAGATTCCCCCTTATCTGGGCTTGTTCAGATCTGGGGTTCTGGTTCAGTGCATTATGGGCTACATTTCCAGAATAGCTGTCACCCAGCAGCTCCCATTGTTCTCAGTGGGGAAGGCAGGGTGCTGACTGAGCACTTTGGAAAACCTGGCTATAGGGAGGTAGAGGCTGCTTTAAGTGCAGAGTGGAACAGTGATTAGTCTATATTGCACTGATCTATGCAATGCCTGCTCACTCCTTACTTTTCTGCTACTGCTAGCCAAAAAGTATGTGTGTCACTCCATTCATTCCATACCCTGAACACACAGAATGACTGTATAGCAGCTGCCCTCCCCCTCACCCCCCCAGGAACTGACATTCTCACAGGAGGGAGCAGAAAGAACCCAGCTGCTCAGGGTGACTCTTCTCTCTCCTCTGCTATGTGCCTCCCTCCTTCCCCCAAGCAACAACCAGCCTGGAAAAGGGGAGAGGGGACCCCACTGCAGTCCCACCCCAGCCTGGGAAAGAGGGATGAAGAACTTCAGAAGCTGATGGAGGAGCAGAGGTGAGGTTGGAGGAAAATAATAGATTTGGTGTCAGAACTAATTGGAGGGAGAATTGAGGGGACAGAATTGATTTGCAGGTTGGAGAGGAAAATTAAGCAGGGCAGGGAGACAGGCCGATGAAGGGGTGATGATAGATCCCCCACTTTTTTCAGACGACTTTAAGCACTATTGAGAGAACAGGGATTGCACTCCTGGGCCTAAGCTCTAGGCAGATTGTACTCAGCTAAGTAAAGTAATGTTGCAGAGCTCATTTACACCTGAGCAAAAGAAAAGCACAAGCCAGGCCTAAATTACCATAAGTAATTTTCAGCTGAAACATCATCGTGTTCTCAATATGAGAGTTTGCTCCTCTCAGGTCACTGAAAGATACTGAGAAGTTTTTAATAATAGCATTTGTGGGAAAGATTCATTTCTAAAGTACACTCACTGCTAATTAATGTTTTTATCCCTAAGCCAAATACCAAATTAGAATAGGAAAGAAATTCATTCTGAAAACCGTGAAGATAAGTTTAAATTTGTTCCTCTTAAGCACATCAGCACAATTTCTGCTTACATCTCCCCTCTCAGGCACTATATAGGTCTTATTGTATTCTCTGTTAAGGTTGATATAAGAATTGTATAATCAGTTTGTGATTTTCTCAATTTTTAATATTGGGCGGATTAGCGGTGTATGTAATGGTATGTCTTGTTTTGAATTAAACTTGTTTCAGCAAAAGGTGCTAATGCCACGTGTATGTGTGAGTTATCAACATATATAAACACTCAGGATGAAACTCTCCATAGATAGAGGACTTACCCACTATCTATGGTGAGAACCATAGTGTAATTTAGAGGACAGCCAAGAAGCTCCTAATTAAACAAGCTGAAATTTACTAAAATTCTCAAGATTCCAGCCTGTATTGCTTATTGAAAGAACTATAACTCTGTATTGGAGCTGGGTGAAATTTTTCAGACAAATAGTTTATTCACCAGAAAATGACATTTCCATCAACCTGAAACTATTTGCAAATTTGACATGAATTCAGTGAATAGTTCCAGCCAAGAACAATATCTCCCCCTATAATCCTTGGCATTATGGGGGAGGGCAGTGTAAAGCTGGTCATGCCAGCACTGTGCACGCTGGGGACTCTGAGACATTTTCCAGCAGGTGAGATAGGGCCAGATTCTGTCCCCTTAGCACTGCTGGGTTTCTATATAAACTAGCTAAGTTTATAATCCATTGGATCCTTAATACCACTCCCAGAAAGTCATCAAAGAAGGCATATTTACATGAAGGCCTGTTATCTGGGCATTTTCAGAATTTGCTTACCATGCTACATATTCATAAATGTGTCCCACATACTCTGTATTTCCATTTAAGGTAATGATGGGTACAACTGTTCAAGGCATATTGTATTTATAGAGGTAGGGAGCAGAAGTTGCAATCAATACATGGCAGGCGCTTGATTTGTGTATTACATATTCCTTTTATTAACAATAGGTAATTAAGTTTCTATCTTACTAATAAAGTGGTCACTTATAACATTGCCTCCTGTTATTGTGAATCCCACCCCCCAAAAAGTAAACATCTCCCAAATTACCAGTTCCTTCTGGTGTACATAAATGGAGCAACTATAATGTTATAGCGAATGGACATCCCTGTGATAGGGAACAATTACTTGGCAGCATAATTTTAATAGACACATCACTTTAAACTAAGACTTAACCATCTGTTCTGTCTTCTAATTACAAATGCAGAAATAATGCAATTCAGAATTACACCATAAAAATAAAATATAAGAGATTTAAATCCATGTGTGTTGTTTATACAGTACAAGATGCATCTGTTATATTTTTTGCTCATTTTTCAAAATCAAGGGAGAGTTGCTTTCCCTTAATATGGTACAATATTTTATGGGTACAAGAATTCATACTAAGAAGGTTTCCTTTCCTATTGGATTTGCAGACAGCTATGCTGGAAGTAGAAATCCCTATTTAAGTGGGGTTTTTTTCTAATGCAAAAATCCTGTCCAGTCCCCCCAGACCTTAATCTTCATAAGAGCTAGAAGATAAATAAGAGTGCGGTGAGAAACAATTTGTTGTAATTGGACATCTTCAGGAGTGTTAGAGAAATGATTGCAGAAGCTACAGTAAATCCTGACTTTGAATGCCAGAGCTTTGAGTGGGGTGGCTGCAGAGTAATTGTAATCAGGCATTCAGCTTGCAGAAGGCAGGGTCAGTAAGAATGCCACCACAGACATGAAGTGAGTATGGTCAATTGTGATAACCACCAAGGCTTTAAATAAGGACACTATGCACTTCCCCTCAGAATCAGCCTATGTTTAATAGTGAATATCCAGGTAATAGAGAGTCCTGACCATACCCTAACCTTTACTCCACCTATTCCCAGCAGTGCAATAGTTCCTAATGGGTCATTACAAGTTGGTACAACTTAAAATGGTGCTTTAGATAAATTCTATTCCTACTGGAAGACTCAAAAATATATAACTTTGGCCACAATGATCACTTAGCAAGCCATAACTTCATCAGCTCTCCTAAGACTTACATATATATCAGTTTGTATCTGCTGCTATCCTATATCTTTCTGTTTTCTCCTCTCTATTTTTTTTCTCTCTCCTTTCTACCTACTTCTATTGTTTCTTACTTAAACATCAAAACTCTTTTTTAGTAAATCACCAAACATAAGTAATGAACAGAGGGTAGGCATTTCAAAAGCACTAAATTGACCTTCAGTGGGACTTGTGCTCCTAAGTGACATGGCTTCTTTTCGAAAATCCCACTCAGATGTAATAATATGGATACATAATCACCTTATCTTTTGTGTTAATGTCAGTTATCCTTTGCTTATGTACATGACATTCTTTATCCTGCTAATATGTTAGCTTGTTTGCAATTGACTTTTGTAAGTTCCTGGGTATTTGATTTATTAAATTTAAAGCTTCTTTATTTAAAAATAAGCTTTTCACTGAATTACCAGTCAGCTCACATCAATTGCAGAGCTGGCATTTGCTGTAACATGAAAATAAAAAGAGCATGGAACACAGGAAAGATTCGTTCATATATGCTCGTCACCAAAGTAGCTAGTCATAAGATATATTTATAGATATGTATTAAAATGGTTTCATAATGCACCTTATTTCTTAGACCAGGGGTCGGCAATCTGCGGCACATGTGCCAAAGGCAGCACACGGGCTGATTTTTAGTGGCATGCTGCTGCCAGCCAGGGTCCTGGCCGCTGGCCCCGCTTAGCCCGCAGCCGGCCTGGATTACAGAACCCCAGACCAGCAGTGGGATGAGCCGCTCAGCACGCTGGTGGTCTGGGGTTCCGGTCGCTGGCCCCTTGCCAGCGAGGGTCCCAGCCGCTGGCCCCGCTCAGCCCACTGCCGGCCTGTATGGACAGAACTCAGGTCGGCAGTGGACTGAGCGGGGCCAGCGGCCGGGACCCCAGACCGGCAGAGGG